TGTTCGGTCAGTATATTCTCATGAATAAATGGTACGCTCTGTTCTTGTGTTATAATTCGTAACTGGCGGAATGGGCTTTAATGTGAAAGTAATCAACTTCATAATTATGAACATGATTGCTTAAAACTCCTTTTTGTTTGGTGTTGAGATGTACAGGATTATGGTGGTTAGAAAATAAACAAACTAGAAATGGTTATTCATTCGTGATGTATTCCACACGGGTATTATAGGCGATGTAACATGCTTGCGATTACTATCTCACAACAGGTACTTGATGTCAAACGGAACAAGAGGGCGAAATTTCACAGTATACACTGTAATGATCACGTGAGTGTGAATTTTCAAGAGTATACTTTCTTTTACCAGGCAGTGTATGTGTTTATTAAATTATTTCTTAATTTACCTAACTCGCAAAACATAATTACATGCATCAGAACAGATGGCGCATTACTCTTGATTTATTACATGTAGTTATGATTACAGCCAGTGGATCCCTAAGAATATAGATCTAGTCTCAGATTAATCATATTTCGACAGGTTAATACAACATGGAAACATTGTTCTTAGTTTTATCTGGAAACACTCAGTAATCTCCTGCCATTATTCCAGTGAAGACCTTTCCTAACATTTAAATTACCGACATGCTAACGCCCATCCCCAGTTCATGCAGACCTGTCTAATCCCAACTCATTGATCCCACGGAGCATGTTTCCTGTCTGGTAATCTCCACACACACGATGTAATCAGTCTCCATGCAACCAGCCGGCTCGTTATGGCCGAACTGATACTCACTTATGGATAAAACTGATCATTACTCGCGTGCCAAGGCTACCATCCGAGCCGTGAGAAAACCCTTATGGTCACGTCAGCACCATGACAAGCTTCCCGTGTTGATATGGGACTTGAATGGATAAATGGAAATTGCGTGTTTCCATGATAAATTGTTTCTTGCGTGATTATATAATAAACATGTCCTTTAGAAGTTTGGGCCTGCCCGTGTTGTAATTACGGACGAAATTTCTTTCCAGTGTGTTCAAGCTTGATAGTTCACCCCATGAACCACTACAGCAGACACGACGCTAGGTTGATCATGCCTTGATTGATACGTGCCGGATACTGCTTCCGCGTGATTAATTACAATCGACCATGAATATGGAACTAATATTTCAAAATGGAGCAGTGACAAGAATCGGGAATTGGAAGTGATGCAGTTTATCATTTAACCATGTCAGGTGTTTCGACAGCAGTTTTATGTCGAAGTGATTGATTATATGTAACAGTGAATTCATTTATTGGCGCTACGAGACGCAATTTGTTATATAATGTTCTAATAATCAGGCTCAGTTGACAATCAATAATACGGTATTGGATAGGCTCAATGGAAATATTCTATCGCCTTAACTCTAAAAATAACATGATTAAAGCATTTAATTCTTTCTGTCGAAAGTTGCAAGATTCCAGTTGATAAAAGTAATATACGTTCAAAGTTTTTATTTGTCCCGTTTCGAAAGAATATTCTCTATAAGCTAAACTTTCTCTAAACCGTAAATAGTTCATGTTCTGGTATAATCCATATCGTCCCATTTGATGAACTACAGAAGATAAAAATCATTGAAAAATATCATCAAAATATCCATCACTCATATCACATGCAACGGGCACAACAAACAACCAACAACTACTACAATAGAAAATGTCTCTTCACGTTCAACAAAGCAGGATAAAATATGGCAACAATGATTGGTGGTTTAAGTTGATAATACACCAGGGAAAAGAGATACCATACTGTCCTGTGTGGACTACTTATGGTGTCACCGTGATGCAGGTAACACTCGTCTTGGTTCCACTGGCTTCAATTGCACATCAGACATCACACCAAGTGAAACATCGGTTCCAACTCCATCCGTGTCGGTCGCCACACTCCTTTCTGTTGTAACAAGTCCGTTCACTACAGCAGCATCACCGGCCGGACCATTCCCCACTCCTTCTACATCACCTGGCGGAGGAGGGGGAGTTGGCGTTGGCTGCTTGTAAAACTTCTTCTTAGTTGGAAGATGATGAATAAAGTGACGTTCACAGAATGGCATTTCTATCTTCTCTTCAGGAATGCCCTTCCTTTTCCTATGATGTTTCTTCTTCCTCGAAATGTATCCTAAACAAAAGTTTCTAATGTTGCCAATAGCTGGTAGCTTTTTGTTGATTTTGACAAGATCTTGTCTCACTCTAATGGCCTCTTCATTGTACAACCTTTCGGCTGCCCTTCGGTACTTATTTAGGACCCTCTCTTGCATTGACAGTCGTTTGTCTAACTGAGTGTTAATTACACGTGTCCTCTCTTGCAAATCTGCATCCAACTTGTTGTAAATGTCCGGTAACAGAGCGTTATTCACTGGTGGAGCCGAATTGGAATTCGACCCCATGTTTGAGCTCACTATTCACATGTGCGGAAAAACATGTCCGTTGATAGCAAAAGTCAGATCTTACCTGATCACGATGCAGCAATATTGAAACTATTTCACCGACAAACTGTTTCTCCGTATACACTGCCGCTTGGTAATTAAATTCCAATTGTCAAATGAACACAAACATGTCCATCTTTAATAAATTGATGGAAAAGCAATATGTTCAACTCTGTTGTGACACCGAGAGTTTGATAAGCCAGTGGTTGTCAACAGATGTATTGAAGCATCGAGACACCGTCACACTGGTGTTGTTATCAAGTGACTTTGGTAGTGTATCAAAATATCAATACCCACCATGCACAAAGCCTAGTCAGACTGAGTAGCGTGCAGATAAACCGTTTAATCACGGGTATTAACTGTGAGCAAACGTCGATGGGTGGGCGTCCCCCTGCGTGGCTAGACACAAACAGTGAGATGAGATCGATGTTGAGTCGTATCTAGGGTGTGTTGCCGGAGTTTCTCCCGCAAGTTTTTTGGCTCCATGTAATACCTTCTGTACGTGCTTCAGACACACTCAGTCGTTTGTTCACAATGCATTGTAGTTTGCGTTTAATCGGTGAAACGAACACCCTAAAAACACCTGTTCGTTTTATCCAAATTGTGATTCAAAAGACCCCCAGAAGTACGTGTATGTTTACTGAGTGTAATAGACTTTGCTTTTACACGATCACGATTTGTAAAGCAGCGATACCCAATTATATAGATCCTTCTTACACAAACTCTTGTGTAGGCATTGAAAGACATGCACAGCGTGATCGAAGACGAAATGAATATAAACTGATTGCCGTGAGTATGGGAAATCCATTTCCATGAAGCACTGGCAAATTGCAAGTTATTGAGTGACGTATATATCCATTTGACAGAGACTCTTAAAGTAGGTCAGAATATATAATAAACTTATACTGTAGGGTGAGTAGCGCCACATGGGATATGAAATACTCAAGGGTTAGTTTGTGGGCTGGATTAAGGGATTGTTATAAGGGGTCTACTTTAATATACCCGATAGTGTACTGTCGGATGTAAGGAGGCGTATCGACCACGGGAGACCCTGAGAACATAACATTCTACAACTGTGAAAACAAAACAGTGTAATCGTTGCCAATGGCATGCGTGAACTCAGACAGTTAGATCAAGTAACAAAGTATGGTTACAGTAACAAAGGGCGGAAACATTGCTAGATGTCACGATTACCTTACCACCAGCGGCTTACTGAATGACAGCTTTCCATATGCTGTCAGATATGTTATATGCTACAGTAACCATGAACAGCTAAAAAAGAAAAGAAAAAACACCTATGCGTTCCCACAACAGGACACAATGTGCCAGCTGATGGTTATATGATACACACAATAAGACATCGAGTGATAGGTTAGGTGTTATCAAATGTATTGTAACTGTCGGAAATGTTACGCATGCTATATGGGTATGATAGGTATAAAAACATAAATGTTTTAGTTGAAACAATAACCAACATTTCAATTCATTTGCTTCTGGTAGACAGTTAAATTGTCAATCCTAACAATTACTGATCACAACCGTACGTTTCTTTCATAATGGGAGATCCTTATTACATGTTAAGTTCTTTCACTTGATATCCTTTGTTTAAGTAATGTTTTCGTTAAGTGAAATTAAGTAATTATATCTTTTAAAGACAGAAATACTAAATTGCTTTGCTCGTCTTCTGCATCCAAATAATCCGAATAAATATATCAGGGGTTGATAGCATAAATATCGTGGAAGACCGCCTCCGTGGTGTAGTGGTTAGAGCGTCCGCGCGGAGAGCGGAAGGTCGCGGGTTCGATCCCCGACCGCGTCATACCAAAAGACGTTAAAAGATGGTACTTGTTGGTCCCTGCCTGGCGCTCGGCATTAATGGGTAAAACAAGGACTGGTCGGCTCGGAGTCAGTATAATGTGTCTGAGTGGGGTATTCATGCTTCACTGCGGCATGGTATCTCAGTGGGCTAGCACTATAAAACCAGCTTAAGTCTGGGCTAGTACAAGCAGCCGCAACTACACATACACATGCATGCACGTCGTCATATGACCGAAATATTCTCAAGCACGACGTAAAACCCGATATCACCTCACCTCACCTCAAATATCGTGGAATGTGTCGTGGTACCAGGTCATCCAGCCAGAGTGAGTGAGTGACTTTAGTTTTACGCCGCACTCAGCAATATTCCAGCTATATGGCGGCGGTCTGTAAATAATCGAGTCTTGACCAGACAATACAGTGATCAACAGCATGAGCATCGATCTGCGCAATTGGGAAGCGATGACATGTGTCAACCAAGTCAGCGAGCCTGACCACCCGATCCCGTTAGTAGCCTTTTACGACAAGCATAGTCGCCTTTTGTGGCAAGCATGGGTTGCTGAAGACCTATTCTACCCCGGATCTTCATGGGTCCATCAAGCCAGACCGACAGATCGGTCGCATCTGACTACAAACATAGATAACCTGGAATTTCCAGAGACTTTGCTCGTACGAGGTAGCCTGAGCTTATCCCATGTTGCACACATAAACTAATCAACTGTCTATAACAATGTTTTTTATATACAATATTTACATAGTACCCAACGCAATTTATGAGTGTTCATCCATTGTTGGCCTGCACATTGAGATGATACATCTTCAGAATCAGCAATACTTGACCTGATTCCTCTTTCTATTGCTCTGAAATAAGGCAAAACAATCAAGGCGTAAATATCTTGTTTGTCCATAACGCGTTGGTTATGAGAAATATGTGTACTTACTGCAGTTGGGTGGATGGACACTGTTTTGGTTTCAACATTAATGACAATTATTAAACAACAATAGCATATGAATTAATGACTTGAATAGTCTTACTCAACTGTCCGTTGTCAACATATTGCCAATAGCTACAACAGGGGCGTAGGAACGGTTTTCAGAGGGGGGACTAATGTATGAAAAGTATTGAAAATCGAAATGAAATTGTAGTTATGGTAAGGTAGATATGGTTTCGTCTTGAAAAACCAAGAAGCACCCCCACCCGTTCCTACGCCCCTGTACAAGCACATAATATGATATGGAATACAAGATCTCATGCTTAAAACATATTCAACGTTACAACAATATATCGTGATATTGGTTCATATCGTTGGTTTAGAAGATATAACCTGGGCATGAATATGTTAAGGGGTTGACACAGGAACGAATTGCTCCATAGAGTGATGGCTAGATTCCTGGCATTACCTCATGGTAGTGTAAGAAGTAAGAAGAAAGCAATGTAATATTATGTTCACTTCTTCTATCATTACAATGATGACCTCTATTTCAGCAAAGTTTATTGAAGTGAAGATTAACAGATCACATTATGGCAATGTTCCAATGTATTTAGATACTTGCACGTTGTATAAGCTGTATGAAACGTTGTCATAAGAGTTGCTATGGTATATTTTGTCACTACCATTCCCCAACACCTCTTAATGCCATTTACAGACAAGAGAAGCTTACAACTGGCCCTGACCATTATATTAGGTAACATTTTCTACCAGAAATGACTGACCAAATAATCAACCATGTAGTGACTGACCAGTGCTTTACCAAAAGGAAGACAGCAAAGAAGATTAGAAATAGCCTTAAGGCTTGTAAAGTCAATCGTTTAGGCCTTGGTCCTGGTGATATCCTATTAGGTAATATCTCTCTAATCCTGGAAGCAAAGGACCTTGAAAACTGATCACTGCCAGCAACATGTGTAATGTCTGCATTTGATTTAGTTGTAAGAGTCATAATCAGCATAGATGACGGAAACATCAAGGTGAATGCCTACTTGCAAAAAGAAATCGATTTTAGAAATTAAATTAACAGGGGAATGCTAAGATTTCACGGACTTACAGTTAGTTTTAGGAGTTGCAGACAAAACATTTCATTACAAATTAAATAATCTGTATTCCAATATGTCATTTGTAGATATTTGATTTTACTGCAGTTCTGAATAAAACCAATACTATATACACATACGTTGCCCTTAACATTGGAGTTAGAATGGTTGGAATGACAGAGAACAAATATGGTATATTGCAATGCCGTAAGTGCGTTCAAATAGGGTTACTATTCACATTTTCAGTATACATTAGTAATAACTTTCTCTGGATATATGGAGCAGTGACAGTGTTTTCTATACAACAAGGAGCTGAAATGGTCCGTGGGAAAGGCTAACAATAACTATCTCATACAGAATATTTTGCTTCCAACAATGAGTGACTGCCAAGACCAACTCAAGGGCGTTCAAGAGAAATAAGGTCGGATTAATCTCACAGTTATATACTTTTACTAATCCCTTCTTACTATTCAATGCTTGGGATATTACAAATGCTCATGTACCATGTATGTGGTTTAGTTAAAACTCATACCTCAAGGCATGAACGCTTAGGCCCCTTTGCCCCTGTGAAATAAGTTTACTCTGAGTTACGTACTTACTTAATTTTCGTAAATCTATAGCAGAAGATGTTCCTAATTGTAGCATCGATGTTTTGTAAAAGTTACATTTATCAGAGAGATATGTCCACTGTTAAAATATCTTTTGACAAACGGTAAAGACAAAAACGCGTTGCTATCTATAGCATGTGCATTATATATACTGAAATGAGTATGCTCACAAGTCTTCTTCAGTTGTGCTATTGTGTTGCAAATACTTACGTGCGTGTTCAGATAAGGTAACAGTCAAGTGTTTCTACAAACCCTTCGAGTTCCTCTTGTTTCCTTCTTGAATAGTTCCTTTCTCTCCTTCCTGCGTTCTTTTTCCCGTTTCTTCCTCAATTTACGGAGGGACTTTTCCTCCTCAGCAGTGATCGCCTTTGAGTGAAGATATCTGCGTCGTGTCATTCTCCTTAAAGGTGGATCTTCATGTACCTGGGTCTGATATAGAAAGCAGTTTCAGCAAATGACATCAACAAACAATGATTAAAGAGGTTCGAGCGATCGCTCTTGGACGGTTCTATTTCCAAATTGGGTACAATGTGTGAAGCACACTTCTTGTGTCCCTGGTGGAGGGAACTGTTGCTAAAAGGAGCCTATGTATGTTCAAGTGAGTGTGTAAACATTGTAACATCATAGCGTGACATATACATGTACAGAGTCTGGCAATCTGGCAATGGTGAATTTTCTTGCAATGAGCAAAAGAAAGAAGTTAGGTGCTATTGCCAATGCACATTGAACTTTGACATTTGACAGACACAGACAGTTCCCTTCTAGTATATATATATATAGTATTACGTTTATATAAGTTGCATTTCAGATGGCTGAGAACAGAAAGTACTGTTTCTTCAATAATCTGCTTTGTATAAAACTCAATATATTTAGGTCTTATTCTTTAATTTTAACCTTCAAATGGAGACAAGAATTAATGTATAATGCTAATTAATGTTTTCACAGTTCCGATGAGGGTAAGATACTGTTTGAAACGGACGTAAAAGGACGATTTTTGCTGACACATATCCAGTGCACTTGCAAGCTAGCCAACAATTTGCTTGACATACCCAAACTTGTGGCTGCTGCCGTGTTTTCATGACTTTTGCCTCAGAGTTTATTATCTCTTCGGTTATTCCAAGCAGGTAGTCCACTACATTGTTGTCATTCAAATCAACATCAGTGTGTTGTCGAATGTGTTCATCCACTGCCCTCACATCATGGCTATCATCATCTATAACAAATGCAATTATCAATCATGAACAACTTTTTCTATGGAGTGCATTCAAATCAAGGTGTCCTTTCCATGATCATTTTACAAGAATTTAAAGATTTCAAGAGTAAGACGAAAATGGCACATCAACAAATCTGTAAGACAACAATAATCCTATAATTTCTTTCACTACGCCAAGTCAAATAAAGGTCATAGTGTAGCCTGTTGGTGGCTTCATTTTCATAACAGGTCACTTGTAATGTATCATTTGTATTCGAGCAGTACCTATAAAATCCAGGATGTCAGGAACATTCTCTCCGAAAGAGGTTATTGTATGTAGATTATCTAGAGCGCTGAGAACCACTGGAGTTGCAATGACAAACCCATCTCCAGAAAAACTGAAATAATAGCATGTAAAAGACATAAAGTAAGGACTGACTAAACCAAATACTTCTACTGAGATTTCACAACAATTACTACACATTTATAAGGAATCCGGATATAAATCAAAACAACCACAGTTGCTAATATGACTGAGGTTGTGATAACGTATGACAGGTCTGTTCTGGAAAATAATACTTGTCTGTAATGTTTTGTGGTAGGCACGGTGTTGCGGCAGCATATCCCGTTGCGCAATGTCTATAGATCGCCGGCGTCTTTGGTGTTGATGGTTGACTAAAACTAAGATTTACAAGTCTTGGTAGGCGTGGCGGGGTACATGTAAGTTCTGGTTTGCGAAACGGCAACACGATGGGAGTTTTAAATCCCTGGTTTCGAACGTTGTTTAATGTCTGCTGGTCCAAGTTGGCTAATATTCCATCCTTCCTTCGCTTCCGGGCATCTTCCTCGACTCTCTGATGTAGAGAAAATAACCACACATTATAAAATAAATGTTGCAGAACCTGTAAATGAAAGAAGTTTCAATATCTTACTTTATGGCCCATTTCAGAAATTTACATTTTAAAACACTTACAGAAAGCCTGTGGCTGCAACGAATTCCTGTCCTCAGACATCAGTATTTATATAACGGAAATGAAATATAATTATTGGTTATAAGATTAATTCAAACCTCTATAACTCTGTCAACGTCGTCTGTGGTAATTTCTGGCAAGGGTTGGTTCTTAAGATTCTTTAAATAATGATTTGTGAGAGGAATTTTCATTTTTCATTTGCGTCGTCTGCTGCAAGAGCATTTTTTTGGTATCCCCTGGACACTTTGCACGGAATATTTTCATTGGCTCCCAACGACCAATCATAATGGACGTCTCATTTACGCATTGTGTACTTCCGGGTATTCCCTCGCTCATTTCGAAGATGTGTGAAGATTGTGTTAAGGAAGAGTTTCCAGATCGGGTAGGTTAAGTTTTGTTGAAATGGTACAAAATTGCCAAGTGTAAATAATTAATTTCTTTTCACAGGAAATTGTAATCCTTACAAATAACGTTCTTTTTGGTAAATGACTCAATTTCAATAGCAATCACAATTCTTCAAAATATAAAGATCTAGCCGAGAGATCAATCCTCCTTTTCGGCTTTTGAGTGAAGATATCATCATGATCATATACATAATCATATTCATACCACTGATAACAGGCAAATATACCTCACTGACTTTTCGCACACATTCATGTCCATTATCAGAACACACACATATATGATAATTTAGAGAGATCAACTAGATATCACTCTCAAAATTCATTCCAGGTCTACACATTATTGTGTAAGATATGAGTTCGTATGAACATTCACATGATATCCATTATCAAAAAGACTATCAGAATAATGTAAACTCTGAATAAAACAGTCACTGACAACTTACGTCGTCTTTCACTTGAAAACGTCTCGGCAATTTGTACCCTTAAAAACATCAACCTGAGATTTAGCAAACAATTTACAACTGTTTTGGTTCATTTTCAAAATTATGGTATGCCTAGTCATATTTATAGTAATGCTTGTAATGTAACTTCTTTAGACTGGTTTCACAAAAGTGCTAAGAGTCCTCTGCTCCATGGACTCTTTTTTTTCCCCCCCCCCAGAATTAGATGACACACACTGCTATGACTGAAATACGTACTGTTCCAGGTTTCACTGGTGGAACTTGTGTCCCAGTCATCTGAGGCAATATCTAGGTTTTGTCAGGTGTACTTATGATCATGGATTTCTAAAGTGTTAAACATCTTGGATCTGCATCGCTTTCTCCTCCCATATCAACCATGTTATAAATGGAATACTTTTCAAGACTATGTTAACCCAAATAACACTCACTCTCAGAAAATTATATAAAACCTGATCAAGGCTTTCTGCATGTTACAGGGCAGTATGTGTGTGGACAGTGGGTCATACATGGTGAACTATGCCCAGTGTGCCGATTGCAAGATTCGGGGGGAGGTGAAGGTCATCAACAGAGTTTGCATCGAGGAGGAAAACGGAGATGAAGTCATTACTTATCAGCGTAGGTGCAGCTTATGTCAAGGTTTTCAAAGAATTCATAAAAAATTGGTTGAAAATATTCAGAATTAGGAAATATATATAATTGTTTATGTTCTTATAGAATATGGGTTTGCTTTGGTAACAGTGGATATTACATAATTGCAGAAACAATTTACATGATTTTTGTCTTAAATCCTTGATTTTTTAAAATTAGTTAGAAGTAAACTGCATTTCGCTGTTAACAGGACCAATGCAAAGGAAGGAGTTTGAATGCTTTAGTTTATATTACTGCATTGAATACAATATTGAATACGTTATGAAAATACCTCTAAATATGAGCTTATGAAACAATTCCAATTTTCAACGCAAGATTGTTTTCTCAAAGTGCCCTCTGATGATGCTTGGTTCAGAATTCTGGACAAATCACAGTTAAGTGGTTAACTTATGTCCTTCAGTTCTTGAGTTACAGGGAATACGATTTCATTATTAGGACAAAGTTCTTCATATGGGAACTGTAGTTTATACCAGAAATGACTTCACATTTTGACTTTCTAAGTCAAATTACAGATATTGTATTATCAAAATAGTAAAATGCATTGACCATGTTTTTGTTGTTGAGGGGAGTTCACATATGTTGGTAACACAAAAGGGATACAATGTGTAAGATATCTAATAACTCAGTTATTATCCCCCGCAACTTCGTTATAGAAACGAGTTCCGTCCGTGCGTCCGTCACACTTTGTCCGAAGCATATCTGCTAAACTATTGGTGATAGCTTAACCAAACTTGGTACACATGTCAACCATGATCCATAGATGTGCCTTTTGGGGGTTAGACCCAGATGCGAATTTTATTTTTTGCAGTTTCCATGGAATCGTGACTTAGGCTGTGACTATGAGGATGTCATCAACTGAATTTGGTGGTAGTGCTCCTTTCTGGAGCAGATCTTAAAAACCTTTCAATACTCTCCTTCCACTTTGCTGTATACACTCCAAAACATTTGACATAATCATAACTAGTAGACATATTCATAAAGTGTATTTTGCTGTTGTGGGGGATATTGATGACTTTGTCTTCTTGTTAACACTGTAACGAAACTGCTACATAAAGAAAAGGTCAACCTGACTGCTATTAATTGTCCACAAAAAAAATGGATCTCTGACACAGATATTCTTGAAAAAGAATTCTTACACTCTTTAGTAGTTCCCCCTACATGATAGAAACAATGTGTGATATAGTGTACTTGTATTTCATTCAGATGTGTGCAAGTCTTGTGAACATGTCATAGGAGATCATGAATACATCTTCAGAGTTGAGGATGATTATCAGGTGAGTATTCCTGGTCAGGTGAAATGGGGTTTAACAATGCGGCAGGGTTTTACTCGATGATTAATGTGCATCTAATACGCCCAAACAAACGATGAAGGAAATAAATATACTGCATCCCAAGGGATGCACAATAATATTCTTTGTATTCTTAAGGTACTTGTAAGTAAAATAGTTACTAAATATTGCAAGTCAGTACACTCTACCATTCCCACACTTTACAGAAGGGCATATTTCTTGTAAGGACCCTTGAAATTAGTTACTAAATTAGTAGACCCCTAGTTTTGTAGGTTAAAGGCACAATATCACACCACACTTATCTAAAAATAAATAATGCATTTCTGTCAATAATACTAACTATCAGCCCTCAGGGAACATACCATATGATTTATTCCAAAACAAAATTGTGTATTTACATTACAATATTTAATTAAAAAGTTCGAATGAATTAATACAAAATTGCATTAAATCGACTCTCACACCCTCAACTGGCCGAACATTATTTCAAGAGAACCCCTAAGAGTTATGTCCCTTGGAGCGCTCTTTACGAATATCCTACGTACAACTTGTGATTGAAAACCAGTACGGAGCAAGTTTTTATATTCCATACATATGGCAAGTGTTTTCTGTTTGGAAGCTATTTGCCTCGAAGTTTCAGTTATCGATTTCAGGCAAGTCATAAGGGATAATAAGTCTTTTATTGCATCAATAGTAAGCAAAAGTGAGTGAATATGCCCCAATACGTATAATATAGGCCAAAATATTGTCGAAAATGTGTGACATTGTGGCTTTAAGGTAAACCCCTGATTTGCAGTCAAAATTAGTGTACATGTACATGTATAGCAATGTGCGTGTGCATGGCTGTTTGTACTACCCAGGAATAACAATGGTTTTATAATGCTAACCTACTGGAAGCCCAGGTCACAGTTTGGTTTGATACACCAATCAGACAAAGTATGCTGACTCAAAACACTCCTTGTTTTATTGCTTTAGTGCCCAACACCAGACAGAGTCTTTTGGTATGACACCATCATAAGTCATACTTACTGGTACAGACAGGTTAAATAAAGGGAAATAACTCTTCCTATACTCAAGCATTCGGAACACTGCTACTGCTGAAGCTATCAAAGAATTAGATCCTGCTGTTCTTGGATCTGATTCTATAATTTGTTACTGGGAGTATTGATGTGAAAAATGTAACACTTTAATATGTATTGTGTCCTTGTGATAAAACTTATTTTAGATTCTTGTTGGCTTTTTGCAAGTTTGACCAGCTCAAAAGGCAGGGTATTTTTGACATATGCAAAATATAGCATCCTATTCACATATAAATAGGGAATTGGTTCAAATAAGTTACATCTGAAAATCCCTGAAAACTATGTATTCATCATGTATGTGAATGGAAACTGTTATTCATTTGGGAGTAAGTAGTGTTTATCACCACTTTGAGAAGACGTCCAGTGATATCAAGTCGTGACAGCTTGATCTGATAGGTAAACCTAAAGTCAGGGAGATCCTAGATATTTACAACAGCTTAACAATTTTGATGCTGACAAACCTAGAAACATAACTGGTTTGTGGTGTTACCGTGGTCGCAACTCGGGGCAGTGAATTGCATCGTGGTAACTGCTGACAATCATACAAGGATTGGTTCATCTTAGAATTGTTCCAGGAGTCTTAAGTGAGGTAGCACAGATTACTGCTAATAGTTTGGCTCTATATGTTTCAGGTGTACGAGATGTCCTGTTTACTGTGTGGGAATGGTGAAGATGAGAGAAGCATATTGCCAGTTGACCCCCAGAAACAGCTAGCATTTTTCTGACAGGTGGTCATGATGATTGTGTGAAAGAACTCCAAGTACACCAGGCCCAACCTGAGGGGTACCTAAAAAACACCAGGTCTGATGAGTTTTTAAATAATGTAACAGACCAGACCAATTGAGTACCTCGAAACTCACCCTTACATCTTTCAGTCCAGTAACATTTGTACAACTGTAATTTACATGCATAGACACTTTTAGAAACTCATGGGTGCCTCCAAATACACCAAGGCCTGACCTCATAGGTGCCTTGAATACATAAGGTCTGACCTTGTGGGTGCCTCCAAATACGTCCAGACCTGACCTCATGGGTACCTGGAATACATAAGGTCTGACCTTGTGGGTGCCTCCAAATACACCCAGACCTGACCTCATGGGTACCTTGAATACATAAGGTCTGACCTTGTGGGTGCCTCCAAATACGTCCAGACCTGACCTCATGGGGTACCTTGAATACATAAGGTCTGACCTTGTGGGTGCCTCCAAATACGTCCAGACCTGACCTCATGGGTGCCTTGAATACGTAAGGTCTGATCTTGTGGGTGCCTCCAAGTACACCTAGGCCTGACCTCATGGGCACCTCCAAGTACACCCAGGCCTGACCTCATGAGCACCTCCAAGTACACCCAGGCCTGACCTCATGAGCACCTCCAAGTACACCCAGGCCTAACCTCATGAGCACCTCCAAGTACACCCAAGCCTGACCTCATGGGTGCCTTGAAAACATAAGGTCTGATCTTGTGGGTGCCTCTAAATACACCCAGGCCTGACCTCATGAGTACCTCCAAGTACACCCAGGCTTGACCTCATGGGTGCCTTGAAAACATAAGGTCTGATCTTGTGGGTGCCTCTAAATACACCCAGGCCTGACCTCATGAGTACCTCCAAGTACACCAAGGCCTGACCTCATGGGTGCCTTGAATGTGTAAGGTCTGATCTTGTGGGTGTCTCCAAATACACCTAGGCCTGACCTCATGGGCACCTCCAAGTATACCCAGGCCTGACCTCATGAGCACCTGCAAGTACACCCAGGCCTGACCTCATAGGTGCCTTGAATACATAAGGTCTGATCTTGTGGGTGCCTCCAAATACACCCGGCCTGACCTCATGGTGCCTTGAAAACATAAGGTCTGATCTTGTGAGTGCCTCCAAATACACCCAGGCCTGACCTCATGAGTACCTCCAAGTACACCCAGGCCTGATCTCATGGGCACCTCCAAGTACACCCAGGCCTGACCTCATGGGCACCTCCAAGTACACCCAGGCCTGACCTCATGGGCATCTCCAAGTACACCAGGTCCAACCTGAGGGGTACCTGCAAACACCCAGGTCGGATGGGTGTTAATAATGTACCATACCAGACCTAATGAGTACCTACAAACTCCACCTAACATGTTTCAGTCCAGCAACTATATTTACAACTGTAATACAACCTTGCCACACTGGACAATCAATCTGTCCCTTTTAGACAGAGTATATGCAGAGACATTATCAGGAAAAATATAAGCTACAGAAGTTGTAGACTTTCACAAGACTGTGGGTTTACTTCAAAGTGCATGTTACATCCATCATAATGATGTCATCCACTGGTACAGCTGAACCCTGCCGAATTGTGACTGGTGATTGTTGCAGCATTGCTTTCATTTCTTGTACATGTTCACGTGCATGCTCTAACACTAGTGCTACCACAGTGAATATATAGCAGTATTGCAATTTAGGGCCTTTTATGGTCGTCTGAAATATATAAGCAACAAAGGCGCAGTTTTAAGTTATTTGAAATCCCATACCTAATTTGGATTTTAGTTAAAACTTAAGTTTGTTAACTAAAATACAGTCTTAAAACATGTTTCATGTTATTAGTTTAGAACTGTGATTGTGCATGATTAATCCATAGTCAGACTCAGTGTAATAGTACCCGGATGCCTTGGGACGTTGTTTATATCAATCACACCATCACATGGTCATCATATTGAAAGTATACTGTATCTGTGATACTTTCTGTTATAATAGAGACTTGTTAATGAATATAATTTTCTCTAGTCACTACAGGGCTGAGATATTGCCGATGCCCTCACTTCCTCATTCATATTGGAAATGTCATTTGTGTTCATCACCATGTACCATAGGATATTTGATATGCAGTAATAAATGTGTTTCTCCTAACTTTATATTTGTCAGTTTGGTCTGTTTAAGCCTTAGATGTTTCGTCTGTTTACTAGCCACGTGTTCCAGTTACACCTGACAACTGAATTTATTCATTTTGTGATTGTTTGCGGTTTACCATAAACAAGAACCACTACATGTATGTAAAACTATGCTTCACTCATTCAATATAATGATATTTTCATATCCATCACCTCATTTTGAGTTGACCAGAAATAGCCGTCCAATGAAATTGCTGTTATGAGCGATACCATTTCCGAAGTCCCTATGGTCACAAATTTAACCAGAGTATGTATATCGCAATAGGATGTAGATTCAGTCCACTTGATAATGGTGAAGAAGGACCACGATGTATCTTGAAGTAGGATCGCGATGTATCTTGTAGTAGGACCACGAAATACCTTGAAGTAGGACCACGATATACCTTGAAGTAGGACCACGATATACCTTGACGTAGGACCATGGTATATCTTGAAGTAGGACCACGATATACCTTGAAGTAGGACCACGATATACCTTGAAGTAGGACCACGATATATCTTGTAGTAGGACAACGATATATCTTGAAGTACGACCATGATATATCGTGAAGTAGGACCACGATATACCTTGAAGTACGACCATGATATACCTTGAAGTACGACCATGATATACCGTGAAGTAGGACCACGAAATACCTTGAAGTAGGACCAAAATATATCTTGAAGTAGGACCATGATATACCTTGAAGTAGGACCACGATATACCTTGAAGTAGGACCACCATATCCCTTTAAGTAGGACCACGATATCCCTTGAAGTAGGACCACGATATACCTTGAAGTAGGACCACGATATACCTTGAAGTAGGACCATGATATATCTTGAAGTAGGACCTGGATATATCTTGAAGTAGGACCACGATATACCTTGAAGTAGGACCACGATATACCTTGAAGTAGGACCACGATATACCTTGAAGTAGGACCACAATATATCTTGAAGTAGGACCATGATATACCTTGAAGTAGGACCACGATATACCTTGAAGTAGGACCACCATATCCCTTGAAGTAGGACCACGATATCCCTTGAAGTAGGACCACGATATACCTTGAAGTAGGACCATGATATATCTTGAAGTAGGACCACGATATATCTTGAAGTAGGACCACGATAAACCTTGAAGTAGGACCACGATATACCTTGAAGTAGGACCACGATATACCTTGAAGTAGGACCACCATATCCCTTGAAGTAGGACCACGATATACCTTGAAGTAGGACCAAGATATACCTTGAAGTAGGACCATGATATATCTTGAAGTAGGACCACGATATATCTTGAAGTAGGACCACGATAAACCTTGAAGTAGGACCACAATATATCTTGAAGTAGGACCACGATATATCTTGAAGTAGGACCACGATATACCTTGAAGTAGGACCACGATATACCGTGAAGTAGGACCGTGATGTAGGGTCACGATATGATTGTGACGTAAAAATTACCCTTTTTGCGAGGTGCTATATCAGGGTACCATTGGGTGCCACGGGATTATGTGGTAAGCAGTTCACATCTTTATCCCAAACAGAAACAATTGTCTTCAACTTTGCTCAGTATCATCAGAACTGAAAGTTTTCATTTTCGCCCATGAAACATAATAAATGTTTTGTGTTCTCCTACAACTCAGGTTGGGTTATTCCATTTTTAAAGTAGGCATTGTCATAACTGATCAACCTGTCCTGGAGGCAAAATCGAAATGTGTGACAAATGATGTGTGTGACTAATGTCAAGGTACCCAGCAGCGCTACATTCACGGAAACAACGGTTACCAATTTGCCAAACACTCCCAATGATTCAACCGAAGTTGAAATGCGATTATGTTTTTGAAGGCCAAATCTGACATTATTCTCAGTAACAGAATACCTCTGTAGACCAATGCTTATTTCAATCGCAGGGATGGGCATTCATTCCACATCCCGAGAGCCCTGCAGCATTGACGTGATAGATGATACCTCCAACCAATATGAACGATGGAAGCATTGGATCCTTTTGTCGCCACATTAATCAAAAACTGATCTCCCCATATGAGAATGTTGGTTAATAATAGTGGAATTATGCTGTCAACTGGTAATTCAGTGTCTTCTCAAACAATGACGATGTGTAATGACAGATGTCACTTGTAAATTAACTTGTTGTTAATAAATTCCCCCATTCGTCCCTCATTAACTATCAGCTGATCTGTAGTTTAGTTTCATCGCAGGGACACCGTCTCTGATATTTTGTTGAATAGTGAGTAAGTTTAGTTTTAGTTTCAGCAATATTCCAGCAATATAACGACGGGGGACACAAGAAATGGGCTTCACGCATTGTACCCATGTGGGGAATCGAACCCGAGTCTTCAACGTTACAAGCGAACGCTTTAACAACTAGGCCACCCCACCGCTCTTTAGTTGATTAATGTATGCACCATACATACGGGCCCTGTTTTAGTTTACATTCACGACTTGCGAGTTATTACACTTTTATCAAACACTATTGAAGTCATTTCACTGTGGGGGATATTATGAAGAATAAGCTCCGCTCGTTGTTTCCATGTTGGAAATAGAGCCTGGGTATTCTCTTCTACTAATATGCTGCTATACTAATGACTAGCGATATAATTATCTGCCATACCGTATGAGTGCCTTAATTCGGTTAACTGTTTTGCTTATCTTTTTGAAGCCAACGTTAAAGTTATAACAAAGGAATCTAAAGCGTTCCTTGCCGAACCCCGGTACAGCTGCAGGTCTGGCGGTGAGCGATAAGCGCAATATTGCCACACAGCTTGAAGCAAATAAATCATATTTTGTTGGATAACAGCATACAAAGTGGGACAATTTCTCAATGCATATACCTTGTATCATTTGACTCTCAAATATGTAGGTTATATCATTTTGACAGTCAGACTCTACGTTATATTCAGTTATTCCTTAAAGTGTAACGCCAAACATTGTAGGTCCCGTCCACAAAGCGATATTTGAACTACACGTATCAGCCCTCCATGTATGGGACTATTTCAATGTCAAATGTTCTCGTCACGATATGGCTGAAATATTTCCGATGTGACGTTAAATATTAACTCACTCACTCACTCACTCCATGTATGGGAGCTACGATAGTGTGCACAGGGACCCTGTTTTAGGCCTTCTTGTTTTGATTCCGATTTAATGCTAAAACTGTTCGAAGTTTCTGACAATAATTTGCGAGATGAGACGTTATATACTCCAAAACGCCGAAGTGATATGGTTTGGTTGTTGTTTAACGCCGCACTCAGCAATATTGCACCTATATGGCGGCGGTCTGTAAATACATTACAGCAGCCTGGGATTCCTCTGTAACTTGGGGCGGTGGGGTTGCCTAGTGGTTAAAGCGTACGCTCGTCACGTCGAATACCCGGGTTCAATTCCTCACATGGGTACAAACCGAAACATGAGTCTCATTAACCTATTCAGACAATGACCTACTTTTCAGCCGATCCGAATTTTCTCGTGTGAAAGTGAAAACAGACATCGCAAACAACTATGGTTACACTGAATTCCAATTCCAATTCCTTGTTTCATAAGAAATAGTATTTACAAATGGATTTTAATTTTAAACATCGTATTTCTACATTTTATGGCGAGTTGTAGGTAGCATGACATTAACTAAGACGTCACAGACTGCCCCTGTTTGATGAGGTCGTAAAATGATTCACAATGCATCTGGCTCACTGGTTACACCTGTTATGTGTTTTTTGTGCTTATTCAGCGAAGTTCTGTAACGCATAATGTGATTGATATAATATCAAGTCCGTACCAGACCGCCAAACCTTTCTAGCGGCAGAGCCTCGTTTTGAGATTTCCAGGTTTCTGTTTGTCAGTGCTCGCTGTACGACAAAGCACGCTGCACATGTTTGCAAGGATTATACGGAGCGTAGTGTTGCAATATACAAGTGCTTAGATGTATCAAATAATACTGATAATATTTATGTATCCAGTGCAATGAATTGGTCTCAAAATTCTGGACTGGTTATCGTACTAAGTTGCGCAATAGGACTGAACCCAGTCAACAGGAAACGAGACTGTCGTGTAATCAATGTTTTGACTTGAATGTGTGAAGCCTATTTCTGGTGTCCCCAGCCGTGATATTACTGGAATATTGCTAAAGGCGGCGTAAAACCACATTCACTCATCTGTAGCCTAATGAATGCCCACGTTGTCATCCACATCAATCAATCCGCCCACACCTGAACACAAAAAACGCTGTAACTATACCTGATGCCAGGCTCAGAAACTTTAGCTTTTAACTATTCATTGAGTTGTTACTGATCCAGTTGATTTGTGATCAATGTCCATCAATTCATTTGTTGAGATGATTGACGACCTCCCCAGTGTTAACACTTGGTGAATTGATAAATAAGTGATACACCTTATAGTTAGTATTAGGGCTCACTGAATTACCTGCATACAAAGTAGTTCATATGTTGCCACATTGGAGATTTGCATTGATTCACCATACAGTAGAGGCGTAAAACGTAACAAACGATCGGTATGGGAATTATACCTACAGAAATGACATTGCATTATAACTTATGAAGGCATAGCTCATTGTGTTGAGTATTAATGGTGTGGGTACATATTTCATTAAGGTGTCTAGTACGCATGATGTATGCATAACTTGTAACAGTCGCTAACAAACACTACACTGAATGTGACAAGAGGTTAGTCAACGAGGTACACGATGTGTTTGCCATGTAGAGCGTCCATGATGCCTGAAGATTTTACTGCGCTTTGCTGAATTGAAATTTGAGTGCGACGTTTGGGGTTTACAACGACAAATTTAGCAATTTCTCCATTGTTTCGCATTTACTATGGAACGAACTCTGATGTTAGTAACCACACGATGGTTCATGTCTTATTTCTAAATGACAATTCGTGTAGGAGGATCACGCCACTCCCCATGATCAAATCACTCCCCTAAGGGTCACTATGTGGCTGGAATAATGCCGATGTGACGTAAAGCCCAAAGCCTAAGGATCGTGACCCGTGAAGATCTGGGTAAGAATTGATCTTCAGTAACCCATGCTTGTAAGAGGCGACTAACGGGATCGGATGGTCAGGCTCGCTTTTTTCGTCGACATATATCACATGTCATCGTATCCCAATGCGTAGACCGATGCTCAGGAGTTGATCACTGGATTGTCTGGCCCAAGCTCGATTATTTGCAGACCGTCGCCAAATAGCTGGAATATTGCTGAGTGTGGCGTAAAACCAACTCACTCACTCGCCAATATCATCACATTCAGTATTTGCATTGCATTGCTTAAACGTTCTGCACAGTGTATAGTAACATACAGTTTTCTATATTTGGATATTTCCTCCTATACTTTGCACCATAACCGATGCCTACCTTCTGTGATGATTTATGTACACCATTGTGTCTTCTTACGGTATACTTGTGAAGGTCCGGGTTGGAATGAACCTTCAGTAACCCATGCTTGTCGTAAGAGGCGACTAATGTGATCGGGTGGTCAGGCCCGCTGACTTGGTTGACACATTTCATCGGCTCCCAATCGCGCAGATCGATGCTCATGCTGTTGATCACTGGATTGTCTGGTCCATAATCGATTTTTTACAGACCGCCGCCATATAGCTGGAATATTGCTGAGTGCGGCGTAATAAACTGGAATAAACGTGAGGGCAATACATGTAGCAATGTCTCTTTTTCAAAGGTTCAGATACAATTGTCCAAAATTAAACCGTCGTCGAAGTTTACTGAGTAAGCAATATGTAAAAGTTTTACGTGTTTCTCTAAAACCCCGGGCGGTGGGGTGGCCTAGTGGTTAAAGCGTCCGCTCGTCACACCGCCCATCTCTGGTGTCCCCCGCCGTCATATTGCTGGAATATTGCTAAACGCGGCGTAAAACCATACTCACTCACTCATATTTATTTGGTTATTCAGTTTCAACATATAGCATACAACGAATGAGAATGAACTTTTATACATGTCAATTTGTCCTTACAAATGGATTCTTAGGCTACAACAAACAGTAGGTGCCCGACTTTAATACAAATACAGGTGGAATCTTGGAGGTGGTCACAATTAATCATAGTGTATAAGATTTATATGACAAGATGATGATATCAGTAATTCAGGAAATATAATGTTTATAATGTCAAGAAAGTATATCAACTATTTGTCACCTAAATGCTGTCTTCACATTTGTCCACCATTGTGACATCACATAAAAAGAAACAACTCATTCGTGAACACTCGGGCAATTCCGGAGGTTCCGGAAAGAGACGAGCGTTGATAAACTATGCAGTAACGAACATCACAAGTCTTATTTTAAGTATGTAATATGCCACATTATGAAAGTTGATACTTGGTATATCAAGCTCACAACACCACGGCTTGTTATTCACTGAAGGCACTATACTCGGCATGGATTCATGTGTGTATGTCGATATAAGAACGCCCTGTCTGATAAAGACATCAGAAGTATTCATTCCAAACAAAACCAGCTCGGTCAGATCTGGTACACCACATGTCCAGCCATGGCACAGAGAATGGTTAAACTAGGATTAACGCCGCATTGAACAGATCCTCAGTTTTATCCTCACAGAGAAATCCTCACACGTCCAATGAAATCATTCCACTATATTACGAGCACCGAAGTGTCATACAACACGTTCGTCACATCCAGTGTACGTTATGAATGCCAGTCTTTAGTTAAAAAGCATACCGTGCGTTTTCCACTCCAATTAGATGTGTAATTTGGTTGATCTTCATAGCCGACAGTCCGATATATACACTTTCTCTACATTCGGGTCTGACTATATTATTAAAGGAAAAATATATTCCTAAAAGTATATATCAATAACACCGACAAAAGATGCTTGAATAGGGCACCGGATCGCCATCGAACGTTGTTAAAAAGGGCTCCTGCAAGATGATCGCAGTAATCGACAAAGGCAACTACTACAGAGTCGAACTCACATGTGGCGCTTCCGTCGAATGAGAGTCAATACTGGACGTCCCAATATTACCTCCCTTGGTTTTGATCACCCTAAACGTTGGTTGACATAACTGTTCGAAACATGTCTTTCAACACAAGGCCATTTACTGTTGTTGATATTGTTGTTCAAATCGGTAAAAAGTTGGTTTAGGTTATGTGTTTTCATTCGTATGACCTTGAACATTAGGTCATATACGTTTGTCATTTTAATATTTCAAATTGAATAATAGAATGCTAAATGTTACTGTTGTTGTTGATGTTGTTGTTGCTGTTGTTGTTGTTGTTCCGGTCAACGTATGGCATTGGCACCATCCTGTAAATACTAAATATATATGACAGAATGACGAGTGAAGTTGTTGCGATCAGCAAAACTCCTGGTTTGCAGTCTTCGATGCATCATCGGATCCCATTGGATTTTGACAATACCCGTGAGTAGGACAAAAACATATGGTGACAGGTCACTGGAGACGGCTGGCTCTTCCATCTCGGATATTGGCGCGCGCGTGCGTGCGTTCGTGTGTCTGTGTGACACAATAACGAGTGAAGTAGTTCCGATCATCAAAACACTCTGGTTTGCAGACTTTGATGCATCATAAGAATCCAAATGAAATCACTTTCAAGGAGTTCTTGTATTTTCCGATCACATCTAACGCTCGCGCGGTGTCATAAATGTTTCATACATTTGCCCTGTGACACAAGAACGTCTGAAGTTATTGTCCTCATCACTTCACACGCTTGAGCGATGTTAAAATGTATGATATAGATGTTACATGAAACAAGGGCGTCTCAAGTTGTTGTCCCGATCAATCAAACGCTGGTATGATTTTATAAATGTTTGATAAAGATGTCATGTAAGTCAAAGACGTCTCAAGTTGGTGTTCCGATCACTTCAAACGCTGACGTGATGTCCTAAACGTTTCACAGGGATGTAACAGGTCAAGGACGTCTACCCTCTAATGGCGAATGCGGCGGTAGTGGTGTTACAAACACTGAACGACCAGTGAAGTAGACGGACATTACAAATGGTTTATACTGACAAGCTGGACATTCTTGTCGTTCGCAGTACTCACGTTGTTCGAACTTTCTGACGTGGAGAGTTTGTTTTTTCTCAGATTTGGTACCACACCATTCTTAAGTTCGTCCAAGCGACCAATCTCAAGCTGAAACAAAATGGAAATATAACTATAGACAAGAGCTAGATGTATTTTATGTTCACCTCAGAATAACAGCGCTTGTTACCTATTATGGCCTCTAAACCTGACTATAAATAAGATCTTTACTATATGGGCAATTAGTATGAGGTTAGTGTTTCATAACAGCAGGCATTCATCAATGCAATTTTACCAGTCTAAGTAAACTTAGGCTCAGTAGTATTCGTTACACTGCTATACTGAGTCTAACAAAACCTTGTGGAAGGTCACTTCAAACGCTGGCGTGATGTCCTAAACGTTTCACAGGGATGTAACAGGTCAAGGATGTCTACCTTCTAATGGCGAATGCGGCGGTAGTGGTGTTACAAACACTGAACGACCAGTGAAGTAGACGGACATTACAAATGGTTTATACTGACAAGCTGGACATTCTTGTCGTTCGCAGTACTCACGTTGTTCGAACCTTTGAGCGACCTATGACCGTCCAATCAAAGGCGAGACTGCCGAACGGGTTTAACCAATCAGACAACGGCGACTATTTAGGGTTCGGCGGGACTTACAAAATGGATTTTCTCGTCTCCGGTCGCCAACACTGATCTCCCAACAAATGAAAATCCGCATAAAACACTGACATTTGACCTGCAGTATATAAGCTTTGGGGTTCCTGTTGACATGGTTATAATTAGCATATATCTCCGCAAGTTGACATGCTTTAATACTGACAAAACGCTATTTTCAGCGAATGTTTACTCACTGCTGTGGGCGTGCATCACTAGGAACCGATCGTACGGAAAATAGCATTCGGAATCGTTCGGGTACAAACTTTTCGAGGTAAAGGTTCAAAAGGTATGTGCGAATGTCCACTTTTGCAATTTGGTAAGCTGTGTTCTGATTGGTCAGTCCAAAAGGTTAGCTGATGCGACCTTCTGCTAGGTTTTGTTAGACTCAGTATAGCAGTGTAACGAATAATACTGAGCCTAAGTTTACTTAGACTGCAATTTTACTGGTCGAGATGAGTGGAAAATCAAGTAGACATATAAAAAACTAGCAAAATTCCCCAACTTACTTCAAATCTCTTTAGTGTCTTCCTTTCTACTTTGGAAGCGTTCTGGACGAGCACGTCTGTGATGTACTTGATGACGAGGGACAGATAGGACAATCCAAGGAGGATCCAAACATACGCCACAATTTCATACGCATCACGTGCCGGACCGGCCGATATCTTCTTCTCGTGAATACCTGGATAGGACAAACAGTCATTGTTTTTACGCTTGACCCGCTAATATATTTAACATAGTAACCTCAACCTCATCGTCTTCTTGGGTGTGTATACAATAGGTTATTCCATCATCCGTGAAGTGAGTGAGTATGGTTTGATGCGCTTGTAGCAATATCACGAGAAATGGGCTTTACACATTGTACCCATGTGGGGAATCGAACCTTGGTCTTTGGAGTGAGGGGCGAAGGAGGTTACTCCACCGCCCATCACCCGTGAAGATGATTGGCCACGTGGCAATGTAGTTTCTGTTTACACCAATGAATCGCGATACCGCCTGATACCAACAAGAGCTGTGTTTTGCTGTTAGATTTGATATTTGATTTTCCCATTCTGTGATTTTCGTGGGAGTTACTACGTTCCAAACGCAGCCAGTGATGGGGGAACATGATGTGTTCAAAACCGTCAAGTAATGACAATGACTGAAGCTCATCTTCGGAAAGAAGACGACACGAGTATCACAGTCATTATATAACTCCCAAAATTAATTCAGCGGTACTGGTATAAAAGCATTTTTCAATTGCCGTTAGCCATTTGTCATTGTTGCAGCATTCTGGAGATACCTTATAATCGACTTGAATCGAGATTCAGCATAAAACTGCCGAGCATAAACTCTCGACACTTTGGTTTTTACGTTTTACGACTTTAAAACCTGGAATGGACCATGTGATTTCTACGAACATTTCAACATTTTTAAAAGTTGTTGATTGAGGTTAGAATGTTCAAGGCCTCGTGAAAACTTCGAAAGGTTTTGTGGAAGACATACAAAACACCTTTCCAAGCTTAAAGCATATAAGCGACAAAAAATATTGAGGATTCAGGTGCAGAGTTGACTTGGCTTTGCATGTGTTCGTGACGAGTGCCTCACTGAAGCAGGATACGCTTTCAAATACACCCAGCATCATTATGCTCTATGATATAGACAGTGATGATTATGGATCAAATACTGAGAGAAACAAATAAAGGATCACAGGAACATTCAAGCGTTCCTTTATTATTTTCAAGTGTTCATCACCACAGCGATATACAAAGCTGGTGATGAAAACTGGAAAATATTAAAGGACAGCTTTAATTAATAATCACTAATATTTACACTATTTTCTTTCTTCATAAATGGTGCGCGGACCGAACGGTAATATGGTGGAGAGAGTGTCAGCCCTGCAAGCGATAGATGGGTGGTTCGATTCCCGGCCGCTTCACACTTCGGTGCTCGGCATTAAGGGATAAACCAAGGAGTGATCTCCACGGAGACAGCATTCAGAGTGCACTAGAGCTGTGAAGTCATTCACGATCGGACGCACGCACGTTCGCTCGCTCACGCTTTCGTGACACATTGGACAAGTTGAAAGCACGGCCTGTAACCCAGTGGTTGGCTGAAACCCCAACGTGACGGTGTAACGTGAAACCGTAGTCTATAATGTCAATGCTGGAATGTGACGCTTGAGTCGATATTGACCGTGGTATTTTGTGTAAGTCAGTCTTTAACTTTAATGGTATACACTGAAACCCTAGCCTATCCTATCCATGAAATCAAACACTTCTACTCCGTTAGCTCAAGGTCAGTGATGTTATGTGAGAATGAAAGAAGATAAATTACGCCGATTTGAACACCAGTATGGTAATGGCACCGAAGGATTCGCCTGAAATGGGCTTCACTCATTGTACCATGTGCGGAATCGAACCCAGGTGTGACGACCGTATGCTTTAACCACCAGACCAAGAGCTATAACCTATGTGGTATTTTTTAAATCCAACTGGAATTCATGGACTGTGCTCTCCATAAGAATGGAGTAATTCTGTAGCTCACCTATCTACAATAAGATTGTATCACTGTACTCTATGTTTCAAACAACCAGAATCAAATTATAGCAATACATCTTGAAACCTTCTACGAACTGCCATATTAAATCATATAATTTACACAAATTGGGACCAGTGGCCAATATTTACTTGTCAATTATATGCAATGAAAATCACCACTTGAACAATGTTTAGTGTCCAAGAGGGTACTTGAGGTCAACCACTGAAACAACTGTAGTTACAGGAACATTTGAAATCCAAAAGGCAATGAGTTACAGACAGGACAAAGGTGAATTTTATATAAAGGCAAACTAACTACACCATCCGATATCCCGTGTATTATTCCTGTTAATATAAATACCCTTGATTATGGTTTCCTTCCGAAAATGGAATCACCATCTCCATCTCTCCATTTTTACAGAGATTGTATTTCTCTCGCTCTTGAAAGCGATTTGATTGGTCGGCTATGTTTGCCTGCTTTTGATACGATTTGTACGACGGGCCCAAAACTGGTCTAAACCAGTCATGCTGACGTATGGGTACGCAAAGATTATTAGAATTGCGATACAGTACACTGGATAATGGATAAGAACGCACACATGATGAGGCATAGAAAAACAACAACCACTTATGGCACAAAATATCTGTACAAACTTGTCAGATTGGATGATGATGATTTAATATCACTTATGAAATTATGCATGGAGTACAGCCATGTTATTATGCAGCCTGAGTGACATCGTTAACAAATATAACCAAAAGTCGCACGAGAAATCAATAAAATACACCAAACAATATTTTTAAATGCTTTTATGATAATTTCATTTGTAAGGACGTGCATCAACAATTAGTTAATGTGCACGTATACGCGGGGCTGGCTTACTACATGAATAATACATGATACCTTGGGTATAGGTCATTATGTCAACTCAACTTATTGAAGGGGATTTACGGTACAAATACATCGTGCATAATGCGCCACGGGAAATGCAGCCATCGTCAAATTACCGGTGGTTATATGTCAATTTAGCCAATACCTAATATACACTGCTGTAAAAACACGGGGATCATGAAATATACATGCTATTGTCGGTGACAGAACAAAGGAATGTGCTTGACAACAAACATCCTGCGCATGAGCGTTGGTCTGTGAAACGTAGCACCTTAACGTATCTGTTAGTTTGCACATGCCGAACGCAGTAGTGCTTCACACTTAAATAGGGTGTGATTCCTGATTTTGACACTTTCAAAGACGGTCGATCAATCTTTGTCAGTCTTATTGATTCTGCTTATAAAGTGATTTAATCGATTTCGTTCATTTTTTGTCGAACTAGACATATGGCACCTGCAACGGGTTGTGATCCAGCAGAAGTCAGCGTTCAGTGACCACTAAGTTAAATGTTTCACTGTACAATAGAGACCAAAAAATACGCAAAATTCCGTATATACAGCAGGTACCAAAAAGCAAAATTGTTGACGATCGACCCTGTTTATACAACAGATACCCAATAAACAAAATTGTTGACGATCGACCCCGTATATACAACAGGTTAAAAAAAATGTTGATGATCGACCCTATCTTTACAAGTACCAAAAAACAATACTGTTAAAGATGGACCCCGTAGTTGCAACAGGTACCCCAAAACACCTCAAAATGTTCGATCCCGTTCTAGGGGTGCCAGGTCACAGACAAGAGCACAGGACAAATTGGTCCGAATCCGATTTAATCAAATTAAGCTCAAACGTCGAACTAAACATATACACAGTGTCACCAGGGCCTAGATTTTCGAAGCTCTCTTAGTCCTAAGATAGTCGTAAGTGCCATTCATTAACATTAACTTACGACTGTCTTAGCGCTAAGAGAGCTTCGAAAATCTAGGCCCAGGCTTCTGGTATTCGAGTTACGGATCAGACGTTTAAAAATTACCTACATGCACCTGATCTCCAGGCAGCTGAGATAAAAGTGATGCATATATTCATCAAGGTTTTCTGTCAGTTTTTTTCTAAAAAAAATATTAAGATAAACTACATACGGTAACCATTCTACAATAAGCAGAATCAGTTATACAATTCCGACTGCATCATGAGCACGTGTTTCCCAGTTACCATCACAACAGCAATATTCTTGTACCACTTCCGTTATGAACACATGCACACGGAAAGCAGGTGTCCGCTTCAAAACCCGTGGGGACATAATGGTCAAAATAGGGGATTGCATCGGACATAATACCTCACTCCTGAGTTAAATTTGGAATGTAAGCCACGTGTCTAGCATTAAACTTTTTTAAAATTTAACTAAAACCTTGGATGTTGTAACCTAATCAACTGCTTTAAGCAAGAGTCGTTCGACGCTCTTCGCAATCTAGGTAGAAAGCAGAATTGATTGTATTTCAAAAGGTGTGAAACGCAAAACAAATGAGTGGAGATGCAGGAATCTTGGTCGACATAATGGAAAGGTTGAAGTCACTCGTCTTGTTAGTCTGCCATACAAACTATGAAACAATTATCCAAGAAAGCCCATGCAAGTCTAGAATATGTGGCAAGTCTACATTTCCACAGTTTTCTGATAATGAAGAAAGTCTCTGGGTTCGTTTGCATTACATTTTAAATATATTTTACGAACAGTTTTATTCTTTAATTATGTTCATTTTAGATACTAGATACCAACCTATCTTCTTGTCTAATGTGGAGTATATTCAGTTATACTATCTTTATTTTCCTTGGATAAATTTGCTAGATATAAGGTCACACTCCATGCGTGACGTTATGATCAATATAGGTACTGACAGTCACGGACTTCTATAACTCACACCAGCTTAGCCTTGCATGACAATAAAGATCTTTGTAGATCTATGTCCAAAATAAGAGCTTGAACAACGCCGAGTCTTGCACTTGGTGACACGTCGGGTCTGGATGCAGCCATTGTTGACATCGTCAACAACGATGTACACACCATCGCCCGCTGGGACGTGATCAAAGACCAGGTTATTTTAGCATCAATAAGTGATGACTTCATTTGTCGACCAGGTGCTGGGGGCAGTTGTTTCATATAGAACCAAGCTGTTCACTGTTGTTATCACCTGTGTAGCACGGGACATAGGACGTATATGGAAACAATGGTGTATGGTTGTGGTGTTTAAGGGTCTGAATAATTTTCTTTGAACTCAACCGGTAAATAAAGCGTAAAGTGGGTGTATATCTCATGTAAACAGTTAACCAGGGTCAGGAACATCTGGCGACAAGAAGACTAGTGTTTTACAATGATGTCCAGGGTTCCGATCCACAAAGTGTTTGTAGCGTTACGAGCTATCTTAACTATATAGTTTACCATAGAATAAGGAATCACCAGGGCTGGGACGGGTAACCCGTACACCCGGGACGGGTGGGTAATAAGTTGGACCCGGGTCTCAGTGCCCGGACCCGTTATGATCACGTGATTAATAGATTAAACAATGTAATATATTATTCTTTCATGATTAAAATGTTGTATTGTCTTTGAAGATTTGACATAATTTACAGTCACTTCTTTTGAACATAATCATTGGAGGATCCCTCTGACCCCCACCCCCACCCCACCCCCTTTTTGAAAATGACTTAAGACCACAATGAAGTGGTTATTTTGCGTTTGTTTGCGAGCCAATGGGGGTTCAGGGGTTTCGATCCCCTGAACACACACACACACACAAAATTTCTGGATCCGCCCATGATAATACATAGTTAAGACATTGAAAATCTCGAAATATTAGCCTCCAACCTGAAGAATATATTGCCATTTCTTGCAAATCTGATGTCAGGAATTAACATAATGGATATCCGAGTTGGTTTAGGTAATAAGGGGTCGGGTACCGGGGTAGAATTTTTTTACCCGTCCCAGCCCTAGGAATCACGTAGTGCTATGTAAGATTTGTGGATTGGGCACCTGTTTTTGTTTTGAAAGACGTAATGATGACCAGAATCGAAAAACATATTTGTAACACAGTTGCAAATCACGCTTTATAAGCGATACTGATCATGAGTGATGTGATGAAACATGATATTTTCATTAACGAGTGAATAACGCCACCAACAGCTCTTGGACAGTTTAATAACTATCCCCGTTATAATATTGTTATTTCAAAATAATATCACTCGCCATGCCTAACCAAACGAGCAATTAGTTCATCAAATATATATATAGTTGAATAGAGACGGTAAACAGGTTGAAATGTTGAGGCTGATTTCCGAAGCCCTCAATATACGGTTTGAAATATTGTTTCGTTTGAATTTTTTCTTGAATGGAACAGTAACAGGTCGTATTTTCATATTCAGTCAAATATACGATACAATGCACAGAACCAGCATCAGAACTTAGCCAAGTGGGTACTGTAGCTCACCCGTAACGAGTATAGTGTTCAATGTGAACTAATATGTAGATATACTATTTTGTTATCCTTACGTCATTCTAAATATATAAGATGGTGTACTACACATGCCCTGTTAAATGGAAGTAAATAATATCATAGTATCGAAACAAGCACAAATCTATAAATAAGTGAATAACTGCTTATATTTTACGAAAGTGTGCTAGAGAGTGTTTCAACGCAACCATGCATGCAGTTCTTTTTCCATTCTCTCCAAATTCCATACCCGATGTTTCCCCTTCGAGACCGATCTAAACCGTCTTTTCCTCGGTCAGTTTACTTGTTCACACTAACAGTTATCCAACACAGTAATCTGAGGTTAAAGTCAATGGCTTGCAATGGCATTATTGGTTGGTTGGGTGTTTTTAAACACATTAGTATGTGTTTCTCAGTATTTGTGGCAACCTCCGTAGTCAAGATGAATCTGCCCGGAGAAAGAAAGGTCGTCGGAAAAGGTCTCATGTACTAAACGGAGGTAAAAGATTATGCTTTTGTTACCCAGCCTGGTGTTCGGCTGAAGGGATGAAACAAGGACTGGTTTGGAATCAGTATAACGAGTCTTGAATCAAGTTGATGGGGTTTCCACTCAGTGGGCTAGCATTATGAAAAGGGGCGTTAGTCTGAATTTGTAGCAGCAGTCACAGTCACAAACACAGTCAATAATGTCAGCAACTATCCAAGACATTAACAGTAACAAATTAACAGAAGAAACTACTACCTGAATTACTTTACTACTGAACATTACGACTGGACGGGGGCGGTAAGGTAGCCCAGCGGTTAAAGCGTTCGCTCGTCACGCCGAAGACCCGGTTCGATTCCCTACAATGGTACAATGTGTGCAGCCCATGTCTAATTTCCACCGCCGTGATGCTGCTGGAATATTGCTAAAAGTGGCGTCAAGTTAACGTAGGCTCAGTATTATTCGTTACACTGCTATCAGCTTTCAGCAGTGACACGAATAATACGGAGCCTAAGTTAACTTAGATTGAAGCGGCGTAAAACTAAACTCACTCACTCGCTACGACTTGACGACAACGTAGTCTCCAAATCCTACAGTCTAGACAACTGACCTCACTTCTACTCAGAGACACAACTTACCGATAATATAGTCTCCAAATCCTATAGTACTGAGCGTGGTGAAACAGAAGTAGAGAGCTTCCATGATGTCCCATCCCTCCACAATAGAAAACACAAAGGACGGTATCCCGAACATGAGCGCCAGTCCCAGCACAATGATGAGCACCATGTTGAGGACTTTGTATTGTCTTTGAAGATTTGACATAATTTACAGTCACTTCTTTTGAACATAATCATTGGAGGATCCCTCTGAACCCCCACCCCACCCCACCCTTTTTTGAAAATGACTTAAGACCACAATGAAGTGGTTATTTTGCGTTTGTTTGCGAGCCAATGGGGGGTTCAGGGGTTTCGATCCCCCTGAACACACACACACACACAAAATTTCTGGATCCGCCCATGATAATACATAGTTAAGACATTGAAAATCTCGAAATATTAGCCTCCAACCTGAAGAATATATTGCCATTTCTTGCAAATCTGATGTCAGGAATTAACATAATGGATATCCGAGTTGGTTTAGGTAATAAGGGGTCGGGTACCGGGGTAGAATTTTTTTACCCGTCCCAGCCCTAGGAATCACGTAGTGCTATGTAAGATTTGTGGATTGGGCACCTGTTTTTGTTTTTGAAAGACGTAATGATGACCAGAATCGAAAAAACATATTTGTAACACAGTTGCAAATCACGCTTTATAAGCGATACTGATCATGAGTGATGTGATGAAACATGATATTTTCATTAACGAGTGAATAACGCCACCAACAGCTCTTGGACAGTTTAATAACTATCCCCGTTATAATATTGTTATTTCAAAATAATATCACTCGCCATGCCTAACCAAACGAGCAATTAGTTCATCAAATATATATATAGTTGAATAGAGACGGTAAACAGGTTGAAATGTTGAGGCTGATTTCCGAAGCCCTCAATATACGGTTTGAAATATTGTTTCGTTTGAATTTTTTTCTTGAATGGAACAGTAACAGGTCGTATTTTCATATTCAGTCAAATATACGATACAATGCACAGAACCAGCATCAGAACTTAGCCAAGTGGGTACTGTAGCTCACCCGTAACGAGTATAGTGTTCAATGTGAACTAATATGTAGATATACTATTTTGTTATCCTTACGTCATTCTAAATATATAAGATGGTGTACTACACATGCCCTGTTAAATGGAAGTAAATAATATCATAGTATCGAAACAAGCACAAATCTATAAATAAGTGAATAACTGCTTATATTTTACGAAAGTGTGCTAGAGAGTGTTTCAACGCAACCATGCATGCAGTTCTTTTTCCATTCTCTCCAAATTCCATACCCGATGTTTCCCCTTCGAGACCGATCTAAACCGTCTTTTCCTCGGTCAGTTTACTTGTTCACACTAACAGTTATCCAACACAGTAATCTGAGGTTAAAGTCAATGGCTTGCAATGGCATTATTGGTTGGTTGGGTGTTTTTAAACACATTAGTATGTGTTTCTCAGTATTTGTGGCAACCTCCGTAGTCAAGATGAATCTGCCCGGAGAAAGAAAGGTCGTCGGAAAAGGTCTCATGTACTAAACGGAGGTAAAAGATTATGCTTTTTGTTACCCAGCCTGGTGTTCGGCTGAAGGGGATGAAACAAGGACTGGTTTGGAATCAGTATAACGAGTCTTGAATCAAGTTGATGGGGTTTCCACTCAGTGGGCTAGCATTATGAAAAGGGGCGTTAGTCTGAATTTGTAGCAGCAGTCACAGTCACAAACACAGTCAATAATGTCAGCAACTATCCAAGACATTAACAGTAACAAATTAACAGAAGAAACTACTACCTGAATTACTTTACTACTGAACATTACGACTGGACGGGGGCGGTAAGGTAGCCCAGCGGTTAAAGCGTTCGCTCGTCACGCCGAAGACCCGGTTCGATTCCCTACAATGGTACAATGTGTGCAGCCCATGTCTAATTTCCACCGCCGTGATGCTGCTGGAATATTGCTAAAAGTGGCGTCAAGTTAACGTAGGCTCAGTATTATTCGTTACACTGCTATCAGCTTTCAGCAGTGACACGAATAATACGGAGCCTAAGTTAACTTAGATTGAAGCGGCGTAAAACTAAACTCACTCACTCGCTACGACTTGACGACAACGTAGTCTCCAAATCCTACAGTCTAGACAACTGACCTCACTTCTACTCAGAGACACAACTTACCGATAATATAGTCTCCAAATCCTATAGTACTGAGCGTGGTGAAACAGAAGTAGAGAGCTTCCATGATGTCCCATCCCTCCACAATAGAAAACACAAAGGACGGTATCCCGAACATGAGCGCCAGTCCCAGCACAATGATGAGCACCATGTTGAGGACTTTGTTCACCAAAGGCTTCTTTGAGCAGAGCTTCAGCTGGTTCACCTTGTTGGACAGTGCTGCTAGTTGTTGACCAAGACCACTCAACATCAGCATCGTGACCGGGATCCCGACAATAGCGTAAACTACACACACTATCTTCCCGATGATGGTGCTGGGGGACATGTTGCCGAAACCTGTGAGTGAGGAACACTGTTATTATTAACTTGATCTGGGCCCAAGACCCACTTGCACTTCTAAGTGCAAAGATCGTAAATCCCATACTCTAACGTTGACATAGGACGGTCTTACCGCTAAGATCAATTTGTGCAGTGGGGTCCATTGAGATCTACCCTGGATCCTGCATGGTACCCATAGTGATAACAGCGTCCGATATTGACGTGGTGTGTTATTAGACGACTACAAATCAATATCATAGGTGGGAAATGTTGAATAGTATATAAGTAATGGTGAACATCCTTAAAATGTCAGCTTAGTTTTGGTCTAGATTGTCATCCATCAGCTAAATCCAGATATCTTTCATAGCCTGCCGTAACTCAAATTTCTCAGTCGCCACTTGTGAGAAGATGACAAGATATTTGTTTGTCTGATCAGCTATATTACAGCTGTCTGTGAATCATATAGTCTGAGGGGCGGTGGGGTAGCCTTGTGGTTAAAGCGTTCGCTCGTCACGCCGAAGACCCGGGTTCGATTCCCCACATGGGTACAATGTGTGAAGCCCATCTCTGGTGTCCCCCGCCATGATGTTGCTGGAATATTGATAAAAGCGGCGTTAAACCATACTCACTCACTCACTCATATAGTCTGAAGCCTGTCTTCCAGTGATTGACATCATGAGCATCAATCCACGCATGGAACCCGATGATAGGCAGTCAGCCATGTCAGAAGCCTCAATACCCGATCCATTTAGTTACCTCTTACGACAAGCATAGATTCCTCGGATCCTAGTGTGCCCCAGAGCCCTAAAGGGGCGTGTGTTGATTTGAGTGAGTTAGAGTTAAATTCGAATCAACATTATCCAAGATTAAAACAATGCAATCTACGCCTTCGAGATTCAGAATTTAATGGTTTGTCTAGAAGGTGCCTTCATGTTACTACCTATATGTGGCAGTATTATTCGTTGTGGAACAGTATCGCAAGTGTATTACAGTGTTTCTGTTGACATTCAGTAGGGGGAATTGGCGTGCTGTATTCAGACTCGTGCTATATTTAGACTGTTCTGGAAGGTACTACAAGCCAATGAGCCATTCTACCTTAGTCTAACCCTGAATATTATGGAAAGTTCCAGAATAGTTACGCTACATATATAGAATGTGCTTTTGCCTTGGACATCTCACATTCCAAGAAAACCATTAGTTGTGTGAAGGAAGGATAACAATATATGGATGAACAACTACTGTATTATAGTGGGAGCGACGTTTCTGTGTAGGTTCTAACACCATTATCAAGAAAGTTGTGTGAAGATCACCTATCACCCTGGATACTCGGCCTCGGCCTAATTTGGCAGCTTGACCACTGTTGCAGCCAGCTGAATATTACAAACGTCTTTATTGCTACAATCACTGATTTTATATTATACTGCCTTTGAATCTGTACTACAGCTCTATTGTGTACTGCCATAGTAATTACTTTGTAGTTAGATGGAAACTTAGTTACCTAAAGCTTTTTATTTTTTTATCATATCAAATTTTGTAGTTTTTTTCTCTCATTAAATTCTTTTACGGATTGATTTCCGCTAAGCATGGGAATCAACTCAAAACACTACTTACATTTTGGTCATTTGTCACTGCATGTATTAATCAGCGAAAACAGGTATAAGCAAACACGCCTTCACTTAAACAATGGTATACACACCTATTGTCGTTACTACAGACACAGCAAAGCCGAAAGCTCCCCCGAAGTCCCATCTGTCCAGGTTTGTTCGGTTCTCCACGGCGTAAGACACAAGCTCCTTGTCCTGACTTGCATGTTTCAGCAGCGCATGCAATACGTCACGTGACACGCACGAGTAATTCCCTGAAATATACACAAATATATTGTATTTCATTACAATATTAATGATGACAACAACGACAAATGTAACAAACCTCAGTCTGAGTTGTCCACCAGTCTCGATTTCGAACTCGGTCGATGTAGTCTGACGGCTGGCTGAGTGGTCCAAGCGTCTGACTTTGTGTGCTGGCGATTAGGTGCCTGACTCTGAGGGTGTGGACTCAACCCAACAAAAAGTACTAGAATCGGTACTTTACAAAGAAAGTGTAATCCCAAATATTTGACCACTTTCTAAATGGCATTGTGTATTTCATGGCTCGGGTATGGTCAACTGACACTGAGGGTATATCAACAATGTCCCACGAGGGACGGATGGACAACGATTTTAGTTTACCGCAGACCTGACCAAATTGCACATGTTTTCTGCGTGCATATATGATCAATCGGTGAGAATACCACAGTCAGGCATTTTGAGTCTTCATTCATTTTTCTTGATCTTCAGTAACCCATGCTTGTCGTAGGAGGCGACTAACGAGATCGGGTGGTCAAACTCGCTGACTTGGTTGACACATGTCATCGGTTCCAAATTGCGCAGATCGATGCTCGTGCTGTTGATAAATGGATTGTCTGGTCCAGACTCGATTATTTACAGACCGCCGCCATATAGCTGGAATATTGCGGCGGCGTAAAACTAAACTCACTCACTCACTCCCTCAATCATATTTCACATTGATGGAGGAAATATATAACGGACTCATAAAACGTACTCTGAGTTGGTTTGATTTCTACTGAAAAATATCAAAAAGCTTCAGGGTGACGGTCATCACGCAAAATGAGCCATTGTGAAGTCACACATGTTAAAACAGTAGTAAATGGAGGTGAAAAACACACCCACTCATTACATCTCCTTAGAACATGTATTTGTCCAAGATTTGCCCATGTTCAAATATTTGGAACAAGATTTCATAGCAATCTCTTAAATCAACCTTTTTGAGACGTTTCAGCTCTATTTTTCTTTGGGAGTTTTTATACGCCCAAAACGTCACCACACCCGATAACCTTAAAAACATTATTGCTGACCGTTTTGCTTCGTTCTATCTTATTCATATTCCGCGACTAAAGACGAACATTACCAAACCCCATTACCGGTGCCTGAAATCAATTCATTATTTTTCTGTGGTCGACAAGAAGGTAATTTATTCGTTAAAGAACGAGACGTCGTTTCAACCGTGTTCGTTTCTTCTGTACTGGAACGCGTCCTCATAAATTCACATCAATTTATAAGACCCCGTCGCAAGGTAACCAGGTACCTGGGTTATATCGACTCCAGTAATGCACATCAATCGGAACATACCCAAGGTGCACCAAGTGATCTGGGCCGATAATGAATATGTGTTGAATAATTACCGATCCTAAAAAGTCAATATATCATATAACTAGTCATATTCAAAATATGTATAACACGCTTACACTGCAAAGCTTGAAATCACTAAGCCGACTAGACTCCTACGATCATTGACTTGGGACGATATGGCATGTAAGGCGATTAGGCCCAGTGCCAAATGCTGAATGAAAAATGCTCTTGTTCGTTGGTAGAGCAGCGCAATTCATACACTACACACCAGTTCAGTTTGACATTCACAGTAGAGGCATATTTCAAGTTTGTCTTATTATTAAAAGACACCCACGTTGAATTAGTGCGTAAAATGAGACAATTGCCTTTTTTCACAAGACGAACTGGAAAACGATGCATTTTCAGATGTATGTGAGACTTAGACATTTACACGTTGGAAGAACGGGAAGATTATGGAGTGTTTTAGGGCTTCCTCATGCCCTACATGAAAACTGAGTAAAAGTAAATCAAATATATAACTCGTTACGAGATAACCAATGGTATAAATGTAAGTAAAGCAAATTCAATAAAGTAAAAGTAGAGCGGAGGGTGCTATATCAAGGTAAGACCCACCTAACAAAACGCGTAAAAGACTCCTACTCCTTACACCATAAACAGATATGATACCTTGCTGGTCGATTCATGTGTACATGATTAGAATCGTGTGAATTTCAACTTTAGATGACTCTAACCGAATATAGCTGGCGAGCATCATGTAACCTGTCTTTCTCGAGTTAGAATCGGTCTTCAGCAACGCATGCTTGCCATAAGAGGCGACTGACAGGATAGGATGATCAGGCCCGTGACTTGGTTGGCATCCCAAATGAGCAGGCGATGCTCATGATGTCAATCACTGGATTGTCTTTCTTTCCACATTTAGTTTGAATCCACTGGGCTACTCTGGCGCGTTTATTAGGTTCACATGGCCTTCGACCTACTTCTTCAGTTTCCATTCTGACAATGTTGCCATGTACACCACCAGAGGTCATCCTTCATTCGCCCAATACACTGAACCCATGTTCATGGATTTCAATAAATTGTTAAACATCTTCGGCCAACTCCTTTTGAAGATCCGGGTTAGAGCTGATCTTCAGTATCCGTGCTTGCCATAAGAGGTTCCAAACAGAAACATGAGGTCAAGCTTTCTGAATTATTGTTTTTTGCAAGTCATCGTATCCCAATTGCGTAACTGGATTCTCGTGCATCAAAGACAGGATTGTCCAGCGCAATATATCTCTTTACCGACCACTATGTTAGAATTATTACTGAGGCTTTAAAACACAAACAAACGCATCTAGAGCAAGTTTCGATTTGGTCTTCATCCAACATCTGTGAAGCTGCGTTGAAACTGAATCTTCCATTCAACACAAGGGACGCTGATAGTGACCTTTACCCTTAGTGCATGATCAGAACGAGATTGTAACAATGGAAACAATGACCGTACAGATTTAAATATGAACTCATTATCCTGCGTTTCACGATTTTGAACCCAGACAAGATTTGAGGTCATCATACAAGAAACTTAACTTCAAACCCCATTAATCTGCAACTATCACAAGGGTTTCACAAATATTACAACTTCGGGAAATCAATAGTACATGCAACATCCCATTGAGAAACCCTGGTAATATGTGGACAAAACCATCAACCTATTTAGTCATGTCATAACCGGTCTCCACTTTGCATACAAATCATATTCAATGGTGTGGGAGTACATGCATGTGTATCATAACCCACTTATTGGGAGAGGGCACCTTGTAAAGTATGTCAGTTGTGTCATATGTGAGCTAAAGTATGAAGTAGAAGCCAAAGACCTTATTATTTATTGGTTCTTTTGCGGATTTTTGTCTGTCAACGGGAAGTCGTAGGTTGAAAACAGAAATCATTTCCATTCTTGTGTGTAAAAATGTGGCAAAGATCCTACTGAATAACTATTTAAACAAGCTGTCATGGTGAGTTTAATATCTTGTTTTGAGAAGTGCACGAACACAATTTGTCATATACTAATAACAAACAGTGTGGGAATACCCAAAATTTGATAGTCGTATATAAACTTAAACGTGGTGAGGTCATTTATACTCTAAGGTCAACGCAGCGTTTTGTGTGCTTAAGAAGCACTTTAAACGACATGTTGGAACATGAAGTGAGGCAACTGAGTCAATATTCGTTGAGTTTGAGTGAAATGAAAAATTGTCAAAAACAGAAACCATCAACATCAGGAGATTAACCCCAGAGATTAATAGAGATCAAGGTGTATACCTCCCCAGTGCCTGGAACATCACAAAAGCCGCCTCTATTGTCATTTAATTAGCTGTATATCACTCTGTTGTGTACACATCTCCTTATCATCATGGTTTTTATAACTTCTAATTGATCTGTCGTCATTGATTGATTGTATATAGATGTACATCTCTGGCTTCCTGTAAATCTAATTATCACTTCATTAGCTGTATTCACATCTCCTTATCCTCATTGTTTGTGTCAACTGGCTTTACTTTATCCCTATTATCATTGTTTTTATAACTGCTTTTCATCGGTCCTCTCTGATTCATTGTATATACATGTACTTCTCTGGCTTCCTGTAAATTCTGGTATATATAGTATGTTTTGTATATACATGTAGTATGTCTTTATATCACCTGACGAAGGGGCAAGAAGTAGCCCAGAAACGTCGTGTTATACAATAAAGAAGAAGTTGTCATCCATATACTCGTTTTATATATTCATCAACTTCTAAATGCCTCTCAAGAATGTCACACAAAAAATTGCATTGACCTTAGAGTATAAATGACCTCACCACTTTTTAAGTTTATATATGACTATCAAATTTTAGGGTATTCCCATACTTTTTGTTTGTAATATATTTTTTGTACCCAAAAAAGGTTTTCCAGTCTAGGTGGTATATTTATAAACGTCTCCAAACAGTTCCGTAAACTCGTCTTTCATGTTTCGACCTAATTGTGGGAGTATAACTTTATTGCTAGATTCGAACAACTATGGTTTGTCAGCACCAGACAGGTTGCAGTGTATCTTGATCCTGGGCCCCGTTTCACAAAGCTACCGTAGTGCTACGACTGTCGTAAACCTATACTGTAACATAGGCTTACGACTGTCGTAAACCTATACTGTAACATAGATTATTAGTTGAATTGTGCGTCAAACCAAAGTTAGACACTGTCCCACTGTATTAGCTTCCACTGTTCAATAGATGAAGTATGACAACCGCCAGTTCTCCAGGGATATGGTTTTGCCGTAAGCAACCAGCATCTGACTACATGGTGCAATATTGATAGGAACTCGAGCGACATTTCCTCTCGTTTAGCTGACGTCCTGAAGCGTAAATCTCCCGGCAATCACTGCGCCACCTGTGGAGATCACAACGAGGCGGCCACGTGACATTGTGTGACGAAGTCTATTTATGTCGGGGTTTAATACGCGAGGAAACGTCTTTCATCAGGCTTGTCAGGATCTAATGCAACATTCATGACGTTAGTCGTGTGTACAGTTGACTGTCAAAAGGTGTTCAGTAGACAATAGACCTGTTGTAATTGACGGAAGCTGTTGGTTAGCGATATGACTGCCGTTTGTAAATAATATATGGACCGCCAAATCCGGTGACTGACATAATGAA